GATTCCCGTGTACCACTTCACAGCTGTCACAGTGACAATGCCTGTTCTCCTGAGTCTGCTTTAAGAATGTTTTTTATTCAGACATGTGACAGTCTTTCCATAAAGGGTGCCACACTTCACACTTTACCATTAATGCATGCAAAGGGTATCTAGTTCCTGAGTACTCAATAGAGATTTAAACACTACCATTTACCCATGTAATCTCAGTGACATTTATAGAAAACTCAACAACTGCAGAATACAGTCTTTGCAAGTGGACACAGAATATTCACTAAAATAGTCCATATGACTAGGCCATACAGCAGGCTGGAATACAGTTCAAAGGACTGAAATTATGGAGTATGTTACATTCTGTAACCAAATATCATCAAACTCATATTGAGCAACAAAAAAGACAAGTAAAAATTCCCAAATGTTTGGAAATTAAGCAACACACTTTCAAAATGTTCCAGAATTGTTTTAATTTCCATTGTGATATATTAAACATATTTGAACTGAACATTAAGAATGCAATGCAATGTGTGAGATACAGCTAGAGCAGTAGTGAGAGGAAAGGTGGCAGCTTTAAAGACATCTTAGGGAAAGAAGAAGAGCAAACCCAAAAAGATAAAAGGAAATGAAAATAAAAGCAGAAGTCAATATATTCCAGCCTGCTGTATGGACTAGTCATATGGGACACTTTAGTGAATATTCTGTGTGCACTTGAAAATACTGTGCTCTGCAGGTGTTTTATAAATGATACTGAAAACAGAAGACTAGAGAAACTCAACAAAGACAAAAACATTTCTTCAAAAAGGTAAGTTGATAAAATTCTAGAAAGGCTTGATTAAGGGGGGAGGAAAGAGATAAAACACCAATATCGGGCATTGCTTCCATTGTGGAGGGTGGTAGTAACAGGATGAACACAAATATTACTAAAATATTACCTTGTCTCACAAGTAACCAGAAAAATGAAAATAGTAAGATACCAATTACCAATCCTAATCTATCAAACTGACCAAATCCAAAACATGTGATGTCCCCACCTGTCAGCAAGCACTATTATTGGCTATTGCAGACAACAGATCATCATTTAGTAAAATGCAAACCATGCAATCCCTTCCATCCTATGATGCCATTACTGGCTACCCAGTCACACACAGAGGCATGGCGAAGGATGCTCACTGCAACACTGTGTAAGAGAAAACAACTTCAGTGTTTAAAAAAAAAAGGGAAATAAATAAAATAGGGCACACATTTGATACATAAAAGTAAGGCTGCAACAGACCTATATACTTTATCTGTGAATGTAATACAATCTGAAGCCTGGAGCCAGGAGCTGCTTCTAGGTCTCCCAAATAGGTGCAGGGACCTAAGGAGTTGGGCCATCTTCTACTGTATCCCAGGCCATTAGCAGAGAGCTGGATCGGAAGTGGTGCAGCTGGGACTCAAACTGACATCCATATGGGATGCTGGCACTGCAGGTGGAAGCTTTACCTGCTATGCCACCGCGCTGGCCCCTGTGATACATTCTTCTAAAGAACATGCTACAGGACAAGGACTGAGCTAGCACAATATATCTATCAACAGATGTAAAGTTAAGTGGGAAAAAAGCAAGCTACAGGCAACAGAGAGTATAAATCACATATGTAAGTTCTAAAAAGCACACACAGATACTATCATATTGTTCAAAGATTTCTGCATAATGTACCGAGGTATAAAAAATGGGGCAGAAGCACACTCATCAAATTCATAATTCACAGTAGCTTTTACCTCTAGAGAAACAGAAGAGGTAAAGGATGTTGCTGGAGAAAAAAACTTTACTTGTGGTGTTGTTATTTTACACGTGTGTGTGTGTGTGCACTGAAGTAAACATGGCAAAATGTTAGTGAGTCTAACTATAAAATGTACTTGATGTTTCCAATACTATTCTATAAATGTTCTAATTATTTTAATGCCTCAATGTCCATGGGATTAAAACATTTTATGATTCATGACAATAGATTAATAAACCAACTGTAAATAACATTCCTATCCATAAAAACCCATTGAAAGGAGATCTTCAGGGCTGGTGCTGCGGCTCACTAGGCTAATCCTCCGCCTTGCGGCACTGGCACACTGGGTTCTAGTCCCGGTTGGGGCGCCGGATTCTGTCCTGGTTGCCCCTCTTCCAGGCCAGCTCTCTGCTGTGGCCAGGGAGTGCAGTGGAGGATGGCCCAGGTGCTTGGGCCCTGCACCCGCATGGGAGACCAGGAGAGCACCTGGCTCCTGGCTTCGGATCAGCGCGATGCACCGGCCGCAGCGCGCCGGCCGTGGCAGCCATTGGAGGTTGAACCAACGGCAAAAGGAAGACCTTTCTCTCTGTCTCTCTCTCTTTCACTGTCCACTCTGCCTGTCAAAAAAAAAATTTTTTTAATCAAAAATAAAAAAAAAAAGAAAGGAGATCTTCAGAATGAAAGGGGGAAAAAGCATTAAAACTGAAATCACAGATACTAAAAAATTTTTTTTTTTTTTTTGACAGGCAGAGTGGACAGTGAGAGAGAGAGACAGAGAGAGAAAGGTCTTCCTTTGCCGTTGGTTCACCCTCCAATGGCCGCCGCTGCAGCCGGTGCACCGCGCTGATCCGATGGCAGGAGCCAGGAGCCAGGTGCTTTTCCTGGTCTCCCATGGGGTGCAGGGCTCAAGCACCTGGGCCACCCTCCACTGCACTCCCTGGCCATAGCAGAGAGCTGGCCTGGAAGAGGGGCAACCGGGACAGAATCCGGCGCCCCAACCAGGACTAGAACCCGGTGTGCCGGCGCCGCAAGGTGGAGGATTAGCCTATTGAGCCACGGCGCCGGCTCAAAATGTTTGATTTTTTAAAACATCTATTAGAATATTAGTTTATTTTACATAACCAACATTCCTTAAAATTTAACGTGTTTTTTTTTTCTTTTTTTTACTGCTAGCTTGAATGAAATTATGTGTGTAGCCCAGGCAGAAAACAGTGTGCATACATGTATCTCTTCTAATTGGCTGGTATTATACTTGGGTGTCATCAAATAGCTAGGAAAGCATGCTAGTTTCACTAGTTCAGGCACCAAAACTGAGTCCTAGGTGACTGATATTTTTGTGTGCAGTTTCTTTTTTTGTTTTTTACTAAGTGCTTAATTTTATTTATTTAAAAGGTAGAGAGAGACAGAGAGAGAGAGCGAGAGCAAGCTCATGTGCTGGTTCATTCTCCAAATGCCCACAACAGCAGGGCTTTGGACCAGGCAAAGACAGGAGCCAGGAATTCAATCTGGGTCTCCCATGAGGGTGGCAGATATCCCGCTATTTGAGCCATCACCTGCTGCCTCCCAGGGTGCACCACAGCAGAAAGCTGGCATCAGGAGCCAAGCCAGCACCTGAAGCCAGGCACTCCCACGCTGGATGCAGGTGTGCAGAGGACCCCGTGTTCTGACCACCGGAAGTACTCCCTAGACATGTTTCCAGCACCAGCACGGGAACGCCATCTGCAACCCTGTACCTCAAGGCTCTTTCAACGGAAGCAGCCCGCTGTGGGGGCCACCTTCAAGGACACAAGTGACGCTCCTGGCTTGTGAGCTGACACTTGTTTCTGTCACATTCACGCTCGTTGGGCACGAGTTCTTACACTGCAGACAAAATTACCTGAGACTCACTCCCGGGGCAGTCACCTGACGTGGCCATAGTTCCCTCGGGCTCTGCCTCATACCTGCTGCCTTTATTATTTCATTTTCTCCTCGTTTCTACTGAGAGAGAGAGGGAGGGGGAGAGGGGGAGAGGGCTGTTACACCGCTTGACAATCAAATCCATTTAACTTCTGAGGCACACTAGAAAGGTCCCCGACCCAAGTGAAACCAACCTACGCGTGCGCCGCGGTGTGGAGATGAAACTCACCCTCAGTTCTACGCGGCCCATCGAAAGCACCCACAAGCGGCACAGGCACACGCGCGTCCCGGGCTGGCCCGGGCGCTCCTGGGGTCGCCCTGGGACGGAGCCCCCCGCCTCTCCTCAGCTCCCCCGCGCCTGCCAGCGCCACACTCCTATAGAACGCACGCCTCGCCTACAAACAGGCCTGACCCTACTCTCGTGATTCCTGGAACCGTAACTACTAACTCCGCTGGAAACCTGGGCCCACCTACGACGGCGCGAGGGTGCGGCCCGGATCTGACGCCGGGGCTGAGGCAGCTCTGGGAGAGACCTGACGGGAGGGAGGGAGGGAGCCCCGGGAGCGGCGCGGCCGGCCCGGGCCGAGGGGGCGTGGCGCCGGGAGGGGCGTGCCTGCGGGGAGGGGCGTGCGCCGGGAGGGGCGTGCCTGCGGGGAGGGGCGTGGCTAGGGCGGAGCTCTGGGAGAGACCTGACGGGAGGGAGGGAGGGAGCCCCGGGAGCGGCGCGGCTGGCCCGGGCCGAGGGGGCGTGGCGCCGCGAGGGGCGTGCCTGAGGGAGGGGCGTGGCTAGGGCGGAGCTCTGGGAGAGACCTGACGGGAGGGAGGGAGACCCGGGAGCGGCGCGGCTGGCCCGGGCCGAGGGGGCGTGGCGCCGCGAGGGGCGTAGCTCGGCCAGGGTGGGGCCCCGAAGAGGGGCGGGGCCGCCGGTAGGCGTGGCGCAGGGATGAGGCGGGGCCCCGGAGAGGGGCGGGGCCTCCGGTGGGCGTGGTGCCGCGGAGGGAAAAGGCGGGGCCGTCGGGGAAGGGGCGGGGGCAACGGGGGTGGGGCAGGCGCGGAGCTCGCGGGCAGCCGCTACAGCGCAGAGCCGCGGAACCGGGAGGGCGCTCGGGGGTCCCAGGAGGAGACGGAGGCTTCAGTCGGCCAGCGACGCACACGGGGGGCGAGGACCCCCTCACCCTACAAGTCCTGCCTCAAGTGCAGCCCAGCCTCCTACGCTGGGTCCACCAGGACACCTACCTCAGTCGCTTCTCCCCGCCGAGTTGCACATCCACGCCACCAGCACGTAGGGGCTGACGGTTCCCCACCGGGAGCCAGAGCCACCGCCCTCGGCCTGCGCAGGCGCAGTGCGCACGAGCCGCGCCCAGGGGAGGCCCCGCCCCGAGGCGGGGCCATCCTACCGCGCAGGCGCACTCCACAGGCTACGCCTTCTGCGGGGTAGAGCCGAGTTGCGTCGTCAGCCCGTGTGAGGAACCGGCTCCCGTGCCCACAGCCGGCCGGGGCGGGAGTCGGACGCCGGGAACGGGCGCGGGTACGTAGACGGGGGCGGAGGGCTGGGGGTCGGACGCGGTGCGCGGCAGCTGTGGGCAGCGTGTTGCTGGCCCAAGACCCCGATTGGGGTTTTCTTGTGGTAATTCAGGGACCTTCCGTTGTCCGTGTGGACCGGGTCTGGACGCCGGGAGCGCCGCGGTCAAGTAGGGTTTCCCCCGCCAGAAGCCCGGGGTTACCGGAAGGCGGACTGCCGTCCCTGCCCCAGCTGGGAGAGCGGCCCCAGAGCTGTGTGGTCGCACAGGGTGAGACGAATGTATAAAAAACATTCAACTTGAAGGTCTGATTGGGTTTTGTGTGCAATTCTAGATTCAGTCAACACCCTGTTCTAAATGAGCGTTCTAGTGAGCTGAGCAGATGTTAGTTTAATAGACAGAGGGCTGAGGAGAGCAGAAACAGACAAAAGAGGAATTTCCAAGTTACTTTCCTGCCACATCTGGCCTGTCTGGGAATGTGGCCTCTCCCTCCCTGCCTCTGTGCTCTCAGAAGTCAGATAAACATTCTGCTTTCAGCTTGGTGACTTGGACTTGGGGCATCAGTGAGTCCATAATGGTTTGGTCTTTTGGGTCTAGTGCAGGGCAGCCTCCCATAATCTACACAACAACCTAAAATACCAGCCCCTCCCAGCGCACCTGCTGAGGCAGACGCACACCTAATGGTCTGCATCAGCAGCACACAGGCACGGCCCTGGCAGGGGGTCCACAGGGGCTTCTGATGCTTGTGGGCTGGCATGATGGATTGGAAATGAGAAGAGCAAACAGGCAGGTCTTGACCTGCGTGGTAGAGTGAAATCGCACCAGCCTTCTCCCTCAGGAGGCTCGTGCTTAAGCCAAAACCTGTCAGTCAGGGCGAGAAAGCAGTTCTCAATGAGAAGTCCAGGAGTGAAGTCCAGGCTTGGGGTGGGCATTGTGCCCCAGCCAGTTACGCCACCTCCTGCAATGCAGACATCGCATATGAGTGCAGTGCTCTTTTGAGTGCTAGCTGCTCAACCTGCGATCCAGTTCCCTGCTAATGCACTAGAAAAGCAGCAAAAGCTGGCCCAAGTGATTGGGCTCCTGCCAACCACGTGAAACACCCAGATGGAATTCTGGGCTACTGGCTTTGGCCTGGCCCTGCCCTGGCTGCAGTGGCCATTTGCAGAGTGAACCAGCAGATGGAAATCCATGTATTTCTCTCTCTCTCCCCACCCCTCTCTTTCCCGACCCCTCCCCTTTCCTTTCTACCCTCCCTCTCTCTAAAATTGCCTTTCAAATACATTAATAAATCTTTTTTTAAAAGACAACAAAAAAGTCCAGGTCTTGTTGGAACTGTGTGTTGTCACCACCCAGCCCAATCCCTTGCTGTCCTGAGGTGTTCAGGCCCCACACAGCTTAAAAGAAGATAAGGTTCCCTCACTGATAGATGATACCATATGGAATTTGTTTGGTTCTTTTAGGCATATTTCCAACATACAGTAAAATTGCTAGGCATGTGAAGAAACAGGAAAATGTGAACTATAATTATGAGGAAAAAGCTTTGAATAGAAATGTCACATAGATCATCAAGATGAGTTAGCAGACATGTACTTTAAAATGCTGAAAATTACTATGTTGAAGGTTTTCAAGGAAATGATGAAGAAAATGGACATGAAAAGGAAAATTCACTTATAGTATGGGATATGTTTTTTAGAAAATTAAATAGACAACCTACAGCTGAAAGCATAGCACTGCCTGAACTAGCACAGCAGACAGGAGCTGATAACAGAACACAAAAACAAATCTAAAGAATTTATCCAGACTGTGGCAGAGAGGAAAATGAGAAAACAGCAGCACATAAGAGATTCTGCCATGTTAATAGACACCCAAAAAGAGGTAAGAGTGAAACAAATCCAATACTTAAAAAGGAAATGTTGGGGCCGGCGCCGCAGCTCACTAGGCTAATCCTCCGCCTAGCGGCGCCGGCACACCGGGTTCTAGTCCCGGTCGGGGCGCCGGATTCTGTCCCGGTTGCCCCTCTTCCAGGCCAGCTCTCTGCTGTGGCCAGGGAGTGCAGTGGAGGATGGCCCAGGTGCTTGGGCCCTGCACCCCATGGGAGACCAGGAGAAGCACCTGGATCCTGGCTCCTGCCATCGGATCAGCGCGGTGCGCCGGCCGCAGCGCGCCGGCCGCGGCGGCCATTGGAGGGTGAACCAACGGCAAAAGGAAGACCTTTCTCTCTGTCTCTCTCTCTATATCCACTTCTGCCTGTCAATATAAAAAAAAAAGGAAATGTTGGAAGACCTGCTCAGCAGCTTTTCCAGGGTGAAGAGGGGACAAGGCACAATGAATAAAGAACAACCAAGACAAGAGATTATGGAAAAACCAGAAGGAAGGCGGGAGGGACAATGGGACCCTCTTCCTGAGCAGAGAAGGAACACCTCTGCATCTCCCTGCATCTTTTATTCCCTCCAGATAGCATTCAGCCTTGCTGTGTCAGCAAGTGTGTACTCGCATCTGCAGTTTTGCCTATGTGGCAGTATGCATCAAGCTACCTCTCACGAGGAGGGGAGGAACACCTTGTGAGACCAACAGACCTTTGCTCGTTTGTCTTAGGTGATATCTCGTGAGAAGGAGGGAAACATCCTGGAACAGGACATCCAAGGCCTCTATGATGTGAGCTTTCTCACAACCTAAGGCACAAGAGAACCATTCCCAGCATCCATGGCCTTCCAAGGAATGCAGACATGTTGTTCCTGACTCCTCAGGATATCAGCAGCATCCTTGCCTTCCAAGGGATGCAGGTGTGATGTTTCTATCTCAAGAGATCACTGAGGTGGCGCCCAGGCAGTCCCCACAAGGAAACATTTGAGGACTGTACTAAGCTAAGTCAAATCAAAGCAGACTATGTACAAAGAACATCCCACAGAGTCACAACAGTGAAACCAAAAATAGTAGTTGAGAAAATATCAAAAGCAGCCCAAAGTAAAAGACATTACCCATAAAGACCAGCAATAAGATTATGGCTTACTCAGCAGCAGAAATTACAGGAAATTGAAGACAATGAAATCATATCTTTAAAGTGCTAAAAAGAAAAATCTAAAGTATAATTCTAAACCCCTGCAAAAGTATCATACAAACTAAGTCAAGGGACTGGAATTGTGGCACAACAAGCTAAATTGCCACTGGTGATGCTGGCATCCCCTATGAGTTCTGGTTCAAGTCCCAGCAGCTCCTCTTCCAATCCAATTCCCTGCTAATGTGCTTGGGAAAGCAGTGCAATTGGCCCAAGTTCTTGGGTCCCTGTCACCCACCAGGAAGGCCCAGAGGGAGTTCCAGGCTCTTGGTTTCAACCTGGCCCAGCACCAGCCATTGCAGCTATTCGGGGAGTTAACCAGTGGATGGAAGTTCATGCTCTCTCCTCCTCTCACTGTAACGCTGTCTTTCAAATACATTTTTTTAAAAAAGTAATTTTCTTATAAAATCTCAGAGAATCTGACACAAGTGAGCAGAACTCAGACTGAAGTAATCTCATAAATAACTGCAGGAAAGAAAGAGGAAAGCTAGTACTAGAAAGTATAAGTGATAGGCCGGCGCCGTGGCTCACTAGGCTAATCCTCCACCTTGCGGCGCCGGCACACTGGGTTCTAGTCCTGGTCGGGGCGCCAGATTCTGTCCTGGTTGCCCCTCTTCCAGGCCGGCTCTCTGCTATGGCCAGGGAGTGCAGTGGAGCATGGCCCAAGTACTTGGGCCCTGCACCCCATGGGAGACCAGGAGAAGCACCTGGATCCTGGCTCCTGCCATCGGATCAGCACGGTGCACCGGCTGCAGCGGCCATTGGAGGGTGAACCAATGGCAAAGGAAGACCTTTCTCTCTGTCTCTCTCTCTCACTGTCCACTCTGCCTGTCAAAAAAAAAGTATAAGTGATAGATATGGCTTTTAAATTTTTCCCTACGTCAACAATAACTGTCTTGTGAAGTTTATAACAACTGGTGATAAAATATTTCTCAACAGAGGCACCAAAAGCAAGGGCAATAAAGAACTATTAAACAGTTGTAAGGTCTGCATCTTTATGAGGAAAAGGTAAAAGTGGTATTACACCTCAGGTGGGTTAAGGATGCATATGGAAATTCACAAAAATACAATAATAGGGGCTGGCATGGCACAGCGAGTTATGCCACCACCTGTGACACTGGCATCCCATATGAGTGTTAGTTTGAGTCCTGGCTGCTCATGTTCCAATCCACCTCCTTAGTAATGTACCTGGGGAAGCAGCAGAAGATGGCCCAGTGCGTGGACACCTGCCACCCATATGGGAGACCCAGATAGAGTTCTAGGCTACTGGCTTCTGTTGTGGCCATCTGGGGAGTGAACCAGTAGATAGAATTCTCTCTTTGTAACTCTGCCTTTCAAATAAATAATTTTTTAAAAAGGCAGTGATGTATGACTAATAGAAGTAGTAAAAGAGAACTAAACTAATAAACAACCAAGGGACAAATGGAAAACAAATGGCAGGATTGTAAAGTCAAACCCAATTATACTGTTGCAATAAAAAATATAAAATTAGTAAACACGTCATTTTTTTAAATGTGGCTTTTAAAAAGATTCTACTAAATGTTGTTTATAAGAAACATCCTTTAAAGGTAAATATTTAGTGGAAAATAAAAGGGTAGGGAAAGCTGTATCTCACCATACCAACATTTTTAAAATATTTATTTATTTATTTGAAAGGCAGAGAGAGGGCCCAGTGCCGTGGCTCACTTGGCTAATCCTCCACCTGCAAGCACCGCCATCCCATATGGGCGCCGGGTTCTAAATCTGGCTGCCCCTCCTCCGGGGGCTCTCTGTTGTGGCCCGGGAGGGCAGTGGAGGATGGCCCAGGTGCTTGGGCCCCTGCACCCGCAGGGGAGACCTGGGGGGTGGGGGGAGGTGCCTGGCTCCTGGCTTTGGATCAGCACAGCGCCAGCCGTGGCGGCCATTTGTGGGGTGAACCAACAGAAGGAAAGCTTTTCTCTCTCTCTCTCACTG